GCACCAGGCTGGCTGCAGGCCCTGCTGGGAGACCAAAGTCAATTACCCCAATGCCTTTGATTGAATTGTGCCTGGCCAGCAGCCAGTGCCCCAGAGCCAGCACAGGGACAGGCACAGCCTGGGCCAGCTCCTCTGCTCCTCTGCAGAGCTTGCCCAGGCTCAGGTGATCCAGCTGTCCCCCAAGCACCTTCTGTCATTCACATTCAGAGTGCTTCAGCAGCCTCTGTCCCAATGTCAGGACTGTTAATAACAAAAAGGCCAGCAGTGTGCAGGTGTGTAAATCAGAGAGGAGAAATGCTCCATTGGAAAAGCCATTTCAGAAAGAACAAACCCTCTGCTCCCATGGGAGCTGTGGAGCTGCACAGCCAGGGGATCCTGGAGCTGAGCAGCTCTCCCACACCTCCTGCACTGGGGAGCAGCCACCTCCTGTGCCCCCTTCCAGGCTGCCAGGCTTGCCCATCCAGGCAGGAGATGCTGGCATTGTCCTTCCTGGCAGGTACAGGAGGAATCTGCAGTGCTGCACCAGGGAGGAAGGGAGGTGCATGCCTGCAGCTCCATTCTGAGCTGGCTCAGAAGCATTGGCCACTCTCAAATGCTGGTCCCAGCAGGAGGGGGAAGCCCCTGGGAAATGCAGAGCCCCCTAACCAAGATGATGATCACCTGGCAAGATGCACTCGATAAAGATGATGTAAAATCATAAAGATCACAGGAGAAACCTTGTGCCACCTCCCTGCCCCCAGCACTGAGCTCCAAAATCAGTGCCCAAACACTGATTCTGAGGAGGAAGAACAGAGAAGCACCAGCCCCAGCAGAAAGGAGGCTTTGCCAGGTGAGAATGACCACTGGAACCTGCCAAAGGACCACTGGAACCTGCCAAAGGACCTCCTGCCCCACTGCAGTGCAGCTGGGGATGTGCAGTCCTGCCCCCAGCTGCAGGCTGGGAGCTTTCTCAGTATTCCCAAGCAGAGCTGCTCACTTCTTCCATGACTGTTGAGACAAACCTGCTCCTGTCCTCCCTGCAGCTCTCACAGACCTGGCAGGGAACAAAAATCCTTGGAACCAGAAGCAGAAGCCTGGAGGTTTTTGGTTTTCTGTCCTCAGGTTGTGTGGCTCCTCTCTGAGGGTTCTGTCAGCATCTGCCACCCTCTTGCACAGTGGCAAAAAGCAAAAGAAGGCAAAGCAGAGCTCCCAGCCCTGGGTTTGTATCCCTGGGCTGTTCTAAACAGCAATGGAAGCCCAGGATGGAAAAGCTCCAAAACAAACCAATTAACTACACCTAGTGAATAATTCATAAGACAAACAGTATTTCTTTTCTGCCCGAAATAAATGCAAATGGTTTATGATTTCCTCAAGCCTGTTTGTTACCTGAAAAATCTCCCCAAGCTCCTTCCTGGCAGGTGAGTCTGGGCTGTGGGTGCAGCTCAGCAGCAGGTAGGGATGTCTGGACTGTGCTGGTTTGGTCAGGGTGTTCAGACCCCCCAGTCAAGGGCTGCTCCATGACCTGACCCCTTTTTTAACCCATTTTAGCTACACGTAGAAATTCAAGATGGTCTTACTGCACAAAACCCTAAAGCATCATTGGCCATCTGTGTTTCCACAGTAACTCAGTGAGCACCTCCCACAGATTCAGCTGGGAGCTGCCCCAGCACCAGCATCCCCTGACAGCAGGGTGAATAGCCCAGGGGGACATCCCCTCCTACACTGGAGCTCTGACAGGCTCCCAGGGGTGACAGGGATTTGACAGGTCCCCAGAGCAGCCAGGACACCACTCCGAGCCCTCTAATGGTTTGCAAACTCACAGCAGAAACTGATTGATTTGCAACCTGGGGCTTTAGCCAGTGACACGTTCAGTGCAACAGAATAATTGCAGAGAGCAGATTAGCACTGTGAGCTAATGATCTTTTTGCCTGCTTTTCTCAGCCTGCCTCATCCATCGCTGTCCTGCGTGGGATTAGCATATGCCTGGTTTTGGAGCAAACATTCTGCTTTAAAACCCAGCCCTTTGGATAATGGGTAAATGAAGACAGATAACAGCAGCTCTGCCCTGGCACGGTGCTGTTGAGCCTGCTGAGATCCATAAATGGGGTGTTTGCTCCATTCCAGGCAGGCTGAGGGGCTTTTGGTGGCCAGAGGCAGCTGCCTGGAATTTCTCCTGGAGACAGATAAAGGCATCGTGCATGTGGATGTGCTCACAGGAAAGTGTGAGCTGCTTACTCCAGTGAGCTGGCTTTCCTCCAGCTTTGAGGGGCTGGATAGCAGGGTCACAGGGGAAAGTCTGCTCCTGCAGCAGGAAAGGGCTGCTGGAGGCACAGAGGGGATTTCTGCAGCGGGGAATGGCTGTGGGGAGCAGCGCTGCAGGATCCGTGGACAAGTGCGTGGGAATTGCCACCTAATTCAGAGCAGATGGATGCCAGCAGCACCCAAGCCTCCAGAGCATCTGTCCCTCCTGTGGCCAGCCTGTGCTGGGGGGCACAGTGCTCTCCTGCACACCAGGGAGGGGACAGAGGCCGTGGAGCTGGGTGACAGTGGGGACAGCCACGCTCAGAGCACTCACTGTGAGCCACAGCAACAGGACATGAGCAGCCTGTTATTAATGCATTAATGAGGTGGTTTTATACACACAAATCCCCCATCATTAAT